AGGGCCGCCCACCCAGCAGGGAGGTTTCTCCCCTTGCCCACCTAAGAGAGACAGTGGAAGGGAAGCAGGAGACTCGGGAATGGTCCTGACAGACAGCCTAGAACACGGTTGGGTCCTTTCTGGGATCAGAAATATTCTTTCTATTTAAACTGTGGTCAGATGAGGTATTTCATCCCAAAGTCCATTATAGCTGGCTAATGCTGAGTTTTAGATCTTTTTTTGAGGTAGTCATCGCAGGTTGATATGAGAAATAAAATGGAGCACGAGGCAGAACATGAGTCTCTGTGAGCTTGTACAGGAGCATGAGAGTCCTGCTGTGACTCACGGGAGAGGTATTTTTGCTCTGGGTTTACAACTCTCCTTTGTTTTCTAGGGAAGGCGTGTCTCTGACTCATCTCTTTTTTTCTGCTCTGCTGAGAATTCAGCTTTGGATTGTAATGTAGGCACTGTGATGCCTTTTTACATAATATATTGTTAGCCCAGAAGATTATATTTTACCTGACCTGAATCTGTTTGCAAACCAAAGTGCAAGTGCAAAGTACTTGACATAATAAAAAATGTTTTTGATTTACGTGCTGTTCAGAGAGCAGTGAAGGCTTGTGAGACCCACCCTTGCTGGTACAGGGCGGCAGCTGAATGACTCACCTGAGATGTGGTTGACCCTGTTCAGCTACTTTCTCAGCCCATTGCAAATCAAAGACTGAAATACAGATTTGTAAGTTTGAAATGAGTGAGATATTTCACTCATGTGAGTGAGTTTTAGTTCCACAGTCTAAGGTAAATGTGTTATGTGAAGTGGAGCAGTTTTAGTAAGAAAGATTGGACCTTGCCTCCACCCCTCCATCCTCCACCCATCCCTCCAGAACGCTGTGCCGCCATGGAGCTAGGAGCGCTGGCTTATGGAACAAGAGTACACACTTGCTTTATTTTGAACGATCAGATAAAAGACCTGAGCCCAGATCTTCCAAAGTGTCAGAAGGAATAATCCTAACAATTGAACTTTGTGTTGTAAGGAAAGCTTCTTTCATACTCATTACTTATTTCCTGATCTAATCGGTTGCTTTTATTGAACAAGATTAGATAGAGCCCTCATCTAAAAGTTGGGAGAGAGCGCTGCCTGAATACGGTTGATTTTTCATTGTGACCCAAAGGAAACTGGTTTTGATTTCCCAAAATTTTCATGAAGTTTTGGGGTTAGTTCATCCTGATTGTTTCAGTTCAGCTGCTGAACTGGCAAATCAGCTACCTGCACGTCCCTCGCAATGTACGCTCTGAAAAAGGGTTTCGCCCGTCCTTTTTTCTTCCCTACAGGTGTCACCCTTGAGTTGGGTGTGAATGTATTTGTGCATCTCCAGTATTTGATCCAGACATCTTCTGATTAAGTTAAGATACACAGTTTTCTTTGGGTCCATATTACATAATATACTCAACCGTAATTTCTCTGTGAAGGTATGTCTCATTTGTCCCACCTAAATTTAAATACAATATTAATATATCTCATAGATTGTTGGACGCACAGTTTTGTTTGCATTGCAGAAAAGTAGAGTTTTATTGGAGGCCTTGTTATCAGCAGACAGTAGATCACCAATTGCACTGCAGATAAGTGTAGGTAGATACAGTGACTGCAGATGAAGAACAGTATGAAAAGGAGGAAGTAGATTATTTTAGGAAAGTCCTAGAAATTATTCATGTCAACTTCATCGATAACATTTGCAGAGCAATCTGTGCGTGGGGTGGGTACCCAGTGCGTGTGCTCTGTGTGTTATCGCGTCGTGGGCCTGGCTGCTCAGATGGCAGTAGGTGGGTCAGTGAAAACCAGTGCGTCGGTGGTGTCTTAACACACTCTTGGCTGCCCTGTGGATTGAAAGAAGAAACCATTACTCTGATGGGGAAATCAATTGTCTCTTGCAGTACTAACATTTCATACCATTTCATATCTATTATTTAAATGTTCATTTGAGTGAGTGAGAGCATGGGAAAGGAGCTTAGCCTGTTTCTGTAAGTGAAGCTAAGACACCTTGAAATTAAGAGATTGGATTGTGAATGGTTTAATTGCAATTCCAAATGTGGAAGCCATAACACAGGGTATAGTATTAACAGGAAAAGAGATGAAACACAAAATGGGAAAGCCGTGGGGACAGGATGAATCAGGATTCTCTTTGGAAGATGTTTCTTACCTGTCTTGTCACAAGATTGACCATGAGAGTAGGAAGTAGAAGAGTAAGAGTGGGAGGATATTCCTCCTCCTTGGGCAGCTCCATGAGACGTTCTGTGCAAAGAAAGGAGATTTAATGAAGGTGATGATAAATACATTCATAAAAAGACATACTGTGACATAATGTGCAGTGCATTTAACAGCTCAGCCTTTCTGGACCTTGCAAATATTTCTTTATATTTCTTTATTTCATTCCCTTCGGCTATATTTTCCTAGAAAGTTGTAGAGCACAAACAACAAAAGACTGTAGAAGCAGAATTCATCTGCTTTCACAGTCCAGCTGTGCTTGCTCATCTCCTGGCAGAAGGCAGTACATTGCAGTTTGGTTTTGCATGGTGATTCCTCTCACGGAATTCACTCTGCACAAACAGTCCAAGAGGAACTGATTAGCTGAAAATAGGTCAGTAACTGTATGCTCCGTGTTTCCCTCTGTGACTGATGTGCTGTGAAGTTTACGATATATACGTCTCAATGCAGACGCTGTGAAAAAATCTGTTGTATTTAGATAGATTTCATCTAAAGAGTAGTAAAACATTCTACTCTGTTTTCTGTGAGTTTCTAGGGAAAAAACTGTGATAGAATTTATGCCATTATTTGCAAACAGAATACGTACACAATGTCTTGCTGTCCCTCCTGCAGCAGTGCGTGGTACTGAGCGATCTCCTGTTCCAGGCGGGTCTTGATGCCCAGGAGCATCTTGTACTCCTGGTTCTGACTCTCCATCTCACAGCGGATGCTGGCCAGCTCCTCCTCCACGGCGTTAATCTGCACTTGGATTTGTTGCAGCAGGCAGCCGTAGCGAGATTCGGTTTCTGCCAAGGAGTTTTCCAGAGAGTTTTTCTGGAAGTGGAAATGCAGGAGTTTAGGACCAGAGCTCTACCCGTGCCCGCCCGTTCCGAGGAGGGAAGGGCCCGCAGCGATCCTGCCCCGCGTACCGTGCTGAGCTGCGCCTGCAGTTCGATCTCCAGGTTCTGCAGTTCGCGTCTCAACTCAGTGACCTGGTGGTTGCTTGTCTGGATGTCCTGGCTGCTGGAAGTGACCTGCCGGTTGACTTCTTCAATCTGCAGGAGCCAAACCCCAAACACAGTTTCTGAGTGAGAAAATCCCCTCTGGGAGCGGCTTTGCTGACTGAGAACTAAGAGGGCCAGGGAGCCTCTCCCCTTCATGCTGTCCTCATGGAGGACAGCCTCGTCATTGCTGCGTAGATCCTGACGGTCCACCCACCTTTGCACATCGGCCTGCTCCCCCTCTGCCACCGCAGGCTTTCCCCAGCAGCTTTTTCCTTCCCGTTGGCCAGCTGTGCAGGTGAGGTGCAGGTGGGCAGCCTCCCCCTTTTAGCCAAAGGCATTGCGCGCCCAGTACCAGGGTGTCTGGGTTCTCCCGCAGAAGGAGACGCCGCTTTGTGCATGGCTACGTACCTTGACTTCATACCACTGCTCAACCTCTCGGCGGTTCCTCTCAATGATCTGCTCGTATTCGTTTCTCAGGTCGTTCAGCGTCTTCGTCAAGTCTTCGCCAGGGGCAGCATTGACCTCCACGCTCACGTCGCCGCCGGTTTGAGACTGCAGCTGCCTCATTTCCTGCAGGGAGTCCAAAGAGAGAAACAAAGAGCACAGGTGATTTGTTGTGTCGGGGACAGTGGGCAAAGCAGTGTCAAGGTACAAAGGAATGACAATCACGTGACATAAGGCTGAATTGACCTGACGTGTAACTTTGGGAACCCTGAGGAATCAAAGGACTATGTCTTGGACATGCTATTATCAGTGGATCATACCTCCTCATGGTTTTTCTTGAGAGCGATCAGCTCATCCTTCAAGGACTCCAGCTCGGATTCCAGTGAAGATCGAGTACGAGTGAGATCATCCAGGAGATTTCTCAAGCCATTAATATCAGCCTCCACAGTCTGACGGAGGACCAGCTCATTCTCATACCTGTACCAAAGGAAAAAGAAGCATTACACATGTGTTTCATTACAATGCATAGGCTTGGTCAAACCGCCTGGGGCAGCGTATGATCACCTGCAGTTGTGAATCTCGTAAAATTCATGACATGAAAGATGCATGGTTCACAGAGAGGTA